GGCCTGGTGCACGGGTGGGGCTGGCTGGTTTGCCCTGAAGGGGGCCTGGATCAGGGTGGGGGTCCCCACTGGGGTGCCTGGCCAGCCTGGGTGAGGGGATGATGGCTGGTTGCAGCTGGTCACACACCCTACGGTGGGGGTCCCCACTGGGGTGCCTGGCCAGTCTGGGTGAGGGGCTGAGGGCTGAAGCTCCCAAGTGCTCCTTTTTTTTCTTTTTTTTTCTTTTTTTATTCTGGGCCAGCTTTAGCTCTGGCTCCAGCTCTGAGGCCTCTGCTGCTGAAGTTCTATAAAGGAAACAATGTATAACTCCATCTCTGAGATCCCTGCTCGCTGAAAGCAGGTTTCTGGGTTTTTGTTTAGCTTCTATATTTGTTACAATGTTTCTTAAACTGCAAGCTCAGAGGCTAGCAAGGCAGGCAGGGAACATTGGAGTCCTCCATCACTGAAGCAAGCAAGCCTCATGTTATTTTCAAGCTGCCTGGCTGCCGGCCGCCATCTTAGCTGGCAGTTAATTTGCATATCTTGCTGATTAGCCAATGGGAAGGGTAGCAGTCGTATGCCAATTACCATGTTTCTCTTTTATTAGAGAGGATGTGGCAAATATAACACGTGAATTTTTACTAAGTTTTTCTTTTTTATTCTATGTGTGTGTGTATGTGTATGTGTGTCCAGTTAATACTTCCCTGCCTGTACTGGTGGATACAAAGGCTGTGCTCTCTTGTCCTCTTATCCTGTTGAAAAATGTGGTCATGATAACATGGGAAATAATCCTCAGAGACAAGCCTCCCTGCATCAGAGCTTACAGGAGAGACAAAAATGAGACCACAGGAACGAACTGCACTGACAAGAGAATGACCTGGTCCGACAAACCTGACCAGATTCTTCCCCTTCAGATTGACCCAGTGGCCATCACTCATGAAGGGCATTACAGGTGTACAGTGGCAACAGCTATTGGGAATTTCCATCATGGATATCAACTCCGAGTGTTAGGTAAGGAACATTATACATTGTGGTGTTTCAGAAAACCAGATTTTATACTTAAAGGAACATCTCTCTAAATTCCATGTCTAATGTGTAAGGACTATAACATTTTCTTCTTCATCTCTGCAGTGGCCCCTGAGGTGACTCTGTTTCAAAGCGAGAATAGAAGTGTGGTGTGCAAGGCAGTTGCAGGGAGGCCAGCTGCTCAGATCTCCTGGACCCCAGCGGGAGATTGTGTCCCCGCATATGAATATTGGAGCAATGGCACAGTTACTGTCCAGAGCAGGTGCCACTGGGCAGATGGCAATGTGTCTATTGTGTCCTGCTCTGTCTTCCATGAGACTGGCAACTGGAGTCGATCCATAGAGCTGAATCCAGGTAAGTAATTCTAGTTTGTGTTTTATTTTCCATTCTTTCAGAGGAGTTGTGGTAAGAAGGAGAAGGAGTTTGTAGAGAATTCCTCTCAAAGATGTTCTCTCAACCTTCTGTGTTATCTCCTCTTATACCAAGTAAGTAGGATAGCTAGAAGAATAATACAAAAATTTGTTGTAAGGAGCCATATTTTAAAAGAATGAGGTATTTTCTTTAATAATTAAAATAAAAAAGTGTTTAATGTTCACTTCTATTTAGTAGTAAATTGGCTTGAGTAGTGTACTTTTA